CATTTTTACTGCATTTGTAAATATAAATAAAGCTATTGATCTTAGTATGATCTTATAGATATAAATGTAATATTGACATAGTTAAGTTTAAGACCTTTAAGTAAAGGCCATATTATGGTGGGAGGCGATGAATAATATTATTGTATAGTCTTGTGAAATACCTTTTGGCCTATATAATAACAATGAATAAATATAAAAACAGAAAAGACTCTAAGAAAAAATAATTTTTAATAAAAATTAAAGAAATAATATTATACATCTAGCATCCATATACAATAATATAATATACATTATACAATTATACAAAAGTGAATAGGGTGTCTGGGTGTGTTACCAATCATGAAATGGCTTCTAATCTTGTGTATAGACGTCATACTGAAGCCTAAAACCAATATAATAAGCGTTACTCACGAATATTAAAATACATTATTGGGTAAAATAAAATAAATAATTAAATGATATTCATCATTTTTCCTTATGATTCCCGGATACAATATCAATTATTTGTTAAATACTGAGCGACTGCAATTGGACAGACAGGGTTGTGCTTACATCACTTACGGTCAGACCAACAAGACTGAAACTATAAATCGAAAAAATGTAAATGATAACCAAGTAAAAAATTGAACCACCTTTTTCTTTAACATCAGCAAATATACTTATTAATAGTGAGTGTTAGGGTTACAGCTATCAAAAATAATGAAAACATATAAGTACCTACCAATACGTAATTTTAAATTTCGAGGCTGTAAAAAATAGTTTTAAGTAAAAAAAAATTAAAAAATCTTCTGTCACAATGAAGCTTAAGGTATATATTTCAGATGTTGTATTCAAAATAATTCTGACCACCGATGAGGTTAATTATAGTACATATTTATTATATAGTAACAACAAATAATAAATACGTTACAAAAATATACTCCGAGCACCTATAACTAAGTAAACAATATTAATGTAATATTATGTCTCCTACCTATTCCCTCTCAAGTTATATACAATTCTACACTATATATTAGTATAATCTATATAGGTTCTATTCAAATAATTGTTATACGCGTCATGCACCTTTTTGGTTTTCAAATTGATATATAAGTATATAACAATTTACATCTCTATAAGTACATTTTTTTAAAACCACTTACAATTTACAATAATACAATTTTAATATTATCCTGAATTCATAATTGACTTCTACCTTTTGTAAATTATTAGTTATATACTTATTTACATAATATTATAATACATATTTGGCATTTGCCCATTAAGTGTACCAACTCTATGTGACTCAAACTTTGTTCAATTCGTTATTAGATATTCGATGTATGGTTTCAAAATTAATCTTTAAAAATTCTGATTCGCTGCAATACATTATCAGGTAGGCAATCTATCTGCGGTAGATCGTGGACCCCGTGCAGTATGTACGTTAGTGTATGATTTAACTCTATTACTCTAAAGTATCAAAGTTATACCAAGTTTGTCGTATTCTACCTATGGTGGATTAATATAATCAATTAATACAAAATATTAATTTAACATTAAAATCAGATGAATAAAAAAAACCTAATTTAACCATTTTTAAATTAGAAAATCTTCTTCCCAGTCCCCAGAGGTCTAATCTACACACAAACATTCAATTATATACATATATATATATGTATATATTGACAAAAAATAATAATACAAATATCAACAAACATGCCCGATTAACCAATAGCAACCAATATATAATACACTATTATTATTTGAATCTGCAACAATAAACTACATTTTAGATTCTGAGTGGAGCGAGGAAGCTAGGGGTTTTACAATGGTGTTTATTTTTTTTATTTTATATCCTGTAATCTGTATACAAAATTTCTACCAGAAGGAGTTCTTCTATTTCAACATATTATAGTACCTTATCTTTTAGAAAATTGGATCAAGGTGGTACTTTAGAGAGGTCATTTTTCAATTTTATCAATATTTATTAAATGCCTCGGTAAAAACCACCGAAAAATTACGAAAAACTGCTAAAATTTGGATTTTAATTTCGAACGCTTTGTTTATTACCATAGAAACGAATAAGAAATAATAATATTATAATATTAATTCAACTTACATGATAATATAATAATACCTGACAAACCGTCTCCACTCAGAATCGTTTTTCTTATACAATGATAGAATATCATTGAATTCAAGTTTAATACAATCCATTATTATATCCGTTATTATACAATGACCCACTTGTAACCTACTGTGCAGCAGAGCGATTTCCACTTACCCGCTTTTTTTTAAATTTATTTTTATCTTTATGTATTATGCACCTATTACGATGTGTTTTAATTTTTTTCTTTACAAAAAATTAATTTATACGATAAAAATCCGGGGGGCTTAGCCCCCTAAGCCCCACGTTAGTGATGCCCGCGTTGCCACTCGCTGGCTGCGCTGCGGTCGGACAAAAAAATCGAAAATATCCATTGGCTTGCTATGCAACACCACCTCAAGTTGGTCACAGGGTAACCGTCGTATGAATCATTATGTCGGTGTGTATTTAATCCATGGGTACCTATATATTATACTATGCATTAAAATTTAAAAACCATTATGTTATGTGCATTTAACAGTGTATTTGGTTCAGATTCAAATAGTAATAATAAATAAAATAAAATTATAAAACTTGTTTAAAATTTATTTACATAATACAGTTATTAACTTTATGATAATAACAAAATATTTATAAATATATAAAAAAAAAAAATTAACGCAGTAAAAATTATACCATAAAATATAAGATTACAATATTATGTGAGGCTCAGAGTAAAAATGGATTAGATAATTACTATAGTTGCATTACCTATTTTATAACTTTTAATTTTTTTGAATAACTCAATAATATTCATATTTTGGTTAGATACCAGAATTAAATTATTTTTCTAAGAATTATAGTACAATTACGTAGGTATGTAAAAAGTTGAGTTTTTTTTATATAAGTACGTTTAAGAACTGTTTGTATTCAATTGAAATAAATTTAAAATAGTATGACAAATTATATGACTTATTTAGTTTCTGTAGATTAAATTCAGATAATAATATACTAATGTCATTAAAATTAAGAAAAATTCCATTTTCATTCTGTTCACCCCTCATCAAAATGCTGAGCAAAACAATTTCACGCTAAACATAATAAATAATAAATACACAATAATAATAAAATATTTACAAGAACTTAATTATTAAGTAAAAAATGCCAACGGGTGTTGTAAATCAGATGCAAGTAGTATAATATACTATAATATATTATTTTAATATTATACTATAGAGTATAGACTATAGTATTTTTTCATTTAAAATAATATGTTCGTTTGCATGGCTGTACCTACATGTTTCACCTGTAAGAAACGCCGTGTCATAACCACAACTTAAACTAACTTTAAAAATTTAATTTTTTAGTCGCAAAAAATTTTGGTTTAACTAGATGATAAAATTTGCTAGATTTGTAAATAAAACTTCAACCGTTATTACGAAGAACTGGCCAGTTTCATGACTACACAATATTAAACTATAAAATATTAAAATATATTAACTAATAACAAAATTATCTAGTTTTGATTGCTATCATTCAGTGTTTAGATATTTATTTACAAAAGCATAATTAAACTTAAATCATATGATCTTAAAGGGGAATAAAATAATGAATTGTCTAATAAGTTTTCCACAGATTAGTACATATAACAGTAATCTATGTATAAATTAGGTACTTGAACAAACTGCTAATATAGTTAGTTAAATAACAAATACTTATGCATGTTGTATCCAAGTTAAATATCCATTGCTGATTTAGAATATAGCACCAATTAAAAAAATATGTTCTTAATTCAAACGCAAAACGAGAAAATAATAATAATAATAATAATAATAGTCCATTATTATATTATGTATATACTACAATATTCTTAAACGTGTAAAATTTAAAAATATAATATATATCTTTTTAAATATATGATGTCAGCATCAACTGGGGTACTATAATATTTTACATCACAATAAATTAAGTCTGAGTATTTTAGCATATTATATGTACGCTAGCAAGTGGCGGTAGGTACATAATATGATGTTCTAAGATGGAATTATTATCGTGGTGGGCTGCCCTAGAAAGCTTTATTAAGAATCTAAATATACTATAAAATATAAAATATAATAAAATACATATAACGAATAATGTAAATTTTTGAAGGTAGACTATAATATTATACTTAATAATATTTTGTGTATTTTTGTTCATGTTAGGCCACTATAAACGATGTAGAGTGTTACTAATACACTAATATCCAGGGCCGTGTTTAGGGATTTTTAGTCAAATTAACGGGTAACAATGAACCTAAACGTTTTTTTAAAAAAATGTATGATAAAATAATTTAAATCTTCCTAGATTGTGACACACAATTCTTCAATTACAATATAATAAATTACGACAAAAAATATCAAAATATAAAATATTATAATATAAACTTAACTGTAGGAAATAACTAAGTGAACGGAGTCATGAGAGGATTAAAACAATAATAATTAAAAAAAGAAATGTCCACCCCCTTAAAATTAGGCACCAGGGGAAATAACCCAACCCTAAATACGGCTCTGGTAATATTATATTAGTATAGTAGTATAATCATTTCGGAAAAAAATTGCAGAATATAGATCAATGAAAATCTATTTCTCTTTTCAGTTAGGTGATGCGTAAGTAAAAAGTATAAAAATGTTTTTAATTATAATATTCTGTGTGCTTTTATGCAAGGGATCCTCCCTTCCCCATATCCATAAATCCAGCCACGATAACGTTATAGATGTGTGTAAATAAATGTACACCAACGATACTGATGACGATGATAATTGATAATAATACCTAATAATGACAACGATCGCGTTATTTATGTATGAAAAGCGTGATCGTCGTCGTCATCGTAGTAGTTATGTTATGTGTATATAATATTATTATTATTATTATTATTAATAGTAGTCGATTAGCTGTTTCGTCTGGTTTGGACGGCGGTGGCGGCGGCCGTTTTGGACGCGATCAGTTTGTTCAGCGCCACGATGCCGGCAAGCGAGTTGTGTATGTAACCTCCACCGGCGGCTACGGCGGCCGCAGCCACGCTGTGCTGGTGCGCCTGGACGGACATCATCTTTTGCGTCTCCCGCCTCACCTGGTACTTGTGCAACTGGAACCCGGCCACCACAACGGACACGATCGCTGAACCCGCGAACATTACGAACAGCGCGCCGAACCCGTGCACCGGCATGCATATGCCGTACACAACGTCCTCGCGGATCCGTCCCTGGAATATGGTTACTGCCTCGCTGTCCGTCTTGGTGTCCGGCGTGAACGCCAGGTCCGACTGTGATATGACGTCGTACAACCCGCTGACGCCCACATCCGCGTTTCCAGCGTCCGACACGTTCACGGAACGCCGGCGCCGGCGCCTCTGCAGTTGCGCGAAGTTCGCGGCCGTCTGCTCACCCGCTGTCCCGTTATTGGAGGACGCTAGCGTCGCGGCTGCCTGCTGTTTGTCATCGTCGCTGCCTTCCGACGGCGCGACTACACCGTCGTCCAGGTTCCGTGGCCCGTGCGGGAAACCGTCCCGATTCAACGTCTCCTGCGAAAAATCGTTTTCGTTTTTAATCGAACACAAGGGTAATGTAACTATGTAAGGTAGTGAATCTATAGATTGTTTTTTGTATGCAAAAGAAAAGCTATTTCCAACTTTCCAATATTTTTATTTCATTAAATTACTCGTAAGTTTGTGTACTAATAAAAATGCTTGAATATTACGTATGTAGCATTGTAGCTATATTCCTAAAAATGCTGATACACACAACATACACATAAATATGCAGTAAAAAAAATTCTATGTATGAAAGAAAACTATAATAGTTTTTTTTAAATTTATAAATAAAATTTAATCACATCCTAACATTTTTTTGTCCATGCTAAATCATGCATTCATTATTGTAACCGTTTTGATTAGACTTAAATGATATAGAAATTTAATTTTTAATGTCTTATTTACATAATTGAATTGTCTATGTAATGCACTGATACGTAGGTGTGTTGATTATATTTATACAATTATTCAGATAGACTGGCTGAATAAAATGTTTGCTCCTCTATTGAAAAACTCCAATGTTGCACACAAAATACTAATCATTTAATATACATATACCCACACACATACCTATAAAAATGGTGAAATAAAGAAAAAAATTAATTTTGATATCGTACCTTGTTTTGACCAGGCTGTGGCTTGTTATTGTGACTGGTAGTATCGAACGGATTGTGCACCGCCATCTGCGCTTGAGCACTGGGCTGGTCCGTGTTGACCACGACTGTTTGAACGTAGTCCAACCGATCGTTCTGCTGGTCCTTCCTATCCACCGGCCCATATTGGAGCTGGTGCTGTTGCTGCTGCTGAAGTAAATGTCCAGCCGATGTACGTTCGTCTGTCTGACAGTGATCCAGGCAACCATGCCGGCATATCTCCACCTTGCATCGGATATGCACGCTAAGCGCATCCGGGAACTTGAAGGCATGGAAGAACGCGTACGTTATGACGGAAGCTCGTTCGTCTGAAGTCCGTGCTTTCAGGAACCCACTAATCATTTTTGGTCTTAACACGCACCCTTGGTCGTCCGTTAGCTGAATGACGTGCCCGCCCCCGTCGGACGCGGCGCAAGATTTCACTCTCATGTCAAACTCGCCTGCGCAGGCAAAACAAAACATAATTAAAGCGTTATTTTTTTTTAGATATAGTTTAATATTATATTTATGTGGTTAGTATTATCTATGGTCGTATCTATATTTTTGGACTCTGAACTGTAAACTCGAAAAACTTGTCCTTTTACAGGACAGTGCCATATTTATTCCGTTTTCATTATTTTTTTATTTAAAAAATAATACATAGATGAATTAATATTAGGACAGGATGGCATATTATAGATCTGAAATATGTAATAAAAATTGTTTTTATCGTTTTATTTCATTTAATAAACAAAAATTGCATCTAAAATAACCAACATAAGAACAACGTTAAATAAAACACGACGTGTGTGTAGACTAAATACTCAATTGACCGACAGTCAGTGTGTCAGTGCGCGGAGATTTTCAAATAATCAAATCTGAAATGGTAGTATTAGAAAATATTGTCGTTATGATAAACGTTATTAAAAAAAAAATTTAAAAAAATAGTCTAAATAAAAGAAATATGCCTCAAAAATAAATTATTAACATAAATATTATGTTAAAAAACAAACAATATACAAACATCCAAAATATTTGATATGCATTATAAAACTAAAGATTTGGTTTTGTCTTAACATGAAAAAAGTTTGTTTCTAGCTGACTCAATTTTTACAATTTCGCAAAACAAATAAGTATGCAAATTCTAAAAGTTCTCTGCCCTAATTGTTATTACTAAGAATGATGTTTCTGTTCATATGGTTCCATTGAAAAATGTAGCTAATGAAATTAAAATGGATGCCTCCCATGAGTGGACAACTCAATTATATACAATATGTAACTTTCCATATTTACACTTTATATTTTCAATACAGTGTTTTTGGATAGGTAATGTTTGAAAACATCGATATACCAATTCAATTGTAATAACATTAAAAATTATATTTTAATGTTTTAATTTAAAATAAATAGGTCAATTCTAAAATGATTAATACATTGTATTAAATGTATTGACACTGCAGTCGAAGAGGGGTTACCCTTTAATATTTTCTGAATACAATCACACGTCATCCACAGTTTATAGTATTTACATTACCGTTACTACGCTATGTCGCTATATACTATACTCTGTTCCAAAAGAGAACGGTCACTTTTCGCGTAAACAACTGACGGCTGCGGCAGTGCAAAGGCCAAAATTCCCCTCCCCTTTTCTAGCCGGCAATCGACAACATCTTCGAGAAACGTCTGCTAGCAAGGTGGTGGATGTTGGGCCTTTGCACTGCCATAGCCGTAAGTTGTATGTTCGAAAAGTGACCGTTCTCTTTTGGAACAGAGTATACTATATATTATAGTAGGTAGGTACCTAATATAGTGTTAGTAGGTATACTATTTTAAAATTGTTTACTGTTATGTTTATAATTTAATAGTGCTATATTTTATTACCTCTATAATCATTGATGGCTACCACTAACGTTAACGTAGAACCCAAAGGCACTATACCGCTAACTGGTGGAGCCCATGGTCCTTTTCCGTGTTGTATTTCCATCCAACAATCGACGTTATCACCTAGTATTTCAGACAAAAATTATATAATTCATTAATAAATATTATGATATGTAGTATATTAAATAGGTACGGATGTAATAAAGAAACATAATATAAAAATATATATATAAATATATAGGGGTCATAGTGATCAGGTCACTGTTGTGTGATTTAATTTTAAATAAGTTCCGAAAACGAATCTGAGTGAAGTTCGATTTACAAAACGTTCATCAAAATAAAATCGGGCCTGCTTACTGATGAGCACTAAGCAGTAGGCACTAATATATTTTAATTTTCTCGCCGTCTCACCTCTGAAGTCCAACTGTATAACGTCCAGGTCGGCGATGACCATGGGTGGTTTGGACGCGGTCTTTTCGTAATCATTGTACCACTCGCACCGCAACCGCTTGGCCTCGTCCCACACTTCCAGCAGGTCCTTATCGTACTGGACGACCACAGTGTTCTCGTAGAACTGACCGTTGAGGTCAGGTTTGGTGCCACACCGCGCGTACGCTATGCGGAAAGTGAAGAACGTCTTTCCGGTGGACGGCGGCACGTACACGCACCGTGGGTCAGCGTACTGGCCCTTGGACGACACGATGCCTTCGAACGGATGTGTGAACTGCAAATGCACGTCCATGTGGTCCTTGCCGCACATCACCTCCAGCGACTGAATCACCGGCATGCCATCGGGCCGTTCCAGCGGCCAAATGTCACTGGCACCGCCACCACCTCCACCACCACCAACGCTCACAGCGCTGTGCACCAACTGCAAAACGAAATAAGGACAATATTTAGTTATTTTGAGGACTAATAGACGAGATAGAATATATGGGCCCTACTAGCCAACAGCTAAGCGTATTCATGATCATCCCCGGTCATGGAACGTATGTTATTAATAATTACAATTTACAATTTTGCACTCCACTCGAACACATGATATGAAACGTTTAAAATGTGTTGATATAATATATTATATTATACAAATTAATTGTTATAGCAAACGTTTTTTACTTTTTTGTTGTCTAGATTGTTTTACCTAAAACATTTTTATATTTCTTTTGAGTCTGACAAAAAATATTTAATTTGATAATTATTAAAAAAATGAATTGTATAATAATAAATTTGGCAGTGTGGGGTAGCTTATTTAGTACCTACAGAATTGTAGGCATCGTATTGTAAGGATTCTTGTTATATTTTGCGAAATAATATATGCAAATCGTGTTTCTGCAAATGTAAATCACAGTATAGGTACCTATTCGAATTCTACAAGATGATTCATGTTTATATTATGTTAGAAGTAAATTAATAGGTAGGTATAGGTGTTAAAGGATAATTTATTAAAATTAGAACACATAGACAAAACGAGTTTACGTGGTCTGAATAAAACTCACTCAATTTTAGTGTTAGAACAAAAACACTTCGAACCAAATTGAAAGATGACAATATATTGGAGGTCAAGACGGTGAGTTTTTTTTTAAATTTAAATGTTGAAAAGTTAAAGGTATTTTAATAATTTTGAAATTGTTGCTATTTCTAAAGCTAAACGATACACGATGCTCACCAATATTTGGTATAATGAAAAAAACGCAAAGATTTGCCCTCGCAAATATTGTCACAATTCAATTTTATAATAGGTATTTTTTCTCTAGAACCAAAATTGAGTGATTTTAATATTTTACGGGATTGGTAAATTGGGTCCCAAATTACCTTATTTTGGTAAATTGGGTACCGAAAAAAAAAAGTTACTAGATAAATTGAGTCCCGAAGACCCGAAAATAAATGTTAGCATGTATTCATACCATTTTATTAATATCTAACCATCTTTATTAGAAGTCAAATTTTATAATTAAATTATATTTATATTATATTATTGTATATTACAGAATATTATGTTTTTAAACTAATTAATACAATTGTGATACAAGTAGAATAATAATAATAATAATTCATTTATAAACATTTTATTCAATTTATAAAATATGAATAATAAAATAATCTAGGTTAAACGAAACTTAAAGAAGACTGCATATTTTAGTTTTTAAGTGTTGTAAAAAAAACACAAAATTACTGTCAAATTAAGCTACGTATACGGTAATGAAAAATAATTACTTTATAAAATACGTCACGTTATGCTCTGTTTAATAATAATTATCGAAACTTTTAGTATACAATAAATTAATCGTGGGTGACAATTAAATAATAAGAATAATTATGTAAATTATAGTTAGTCAGCTTTACAGACTAAATAATTTTATTCTACTATTGTACTGGTTTTATTATTTTTGAGCATCTCACTAGTATTATCATCATTTATGAAAAATATGGATACATCGTTGCCTATATTTTTAAAATGATTAATTGAACATTGCGTTCAATTAATATTATAATATAAGTACCTACATTTAAAAAATTAAAAACAACTTATTACCTAATAAACTACATTAGGTATACACAAAAAAATAATTAAAGGATAATAAACTCTGATATAGTCTAGTTTAATATAAAAAGAAAGAATAATTAACTTCTATATTTAGTATTATTGACATAGAAATATAGAATAAAATAGTTTCATTTGTGTGATACCTTTACCCTATATAGTATATACCTACATACGCATTAACACATTTTTACGTTTGAAGTACCTACCTATAATTCATTTAAAAAATCTTATGCTTCTGGCTTCTTTAAGTGTTAACAATTTCGAGTAATATAAAAAATAAATTTTATTAATAAGATAAGCACTTTTGTTCTCAATATTATCATCAAAAGTTCTTAAGATAACATTGATATATTTTAAATGGTATATTCATGTTATTATTGTTTAAGCAAATCAATTTTAGTTCTCATGAAGTTCGAAGAAAAGATTTAAGTGACTATTATAGCGTGTAACAATTAGTAATTTATTATACCTACATAATATATTAGGTATATATTATACGTATCACGTACGTATATAAAAGAAAATAATGAATAGATTTGATTATACATAAAGTAGAACAGGATTGTTTTGTTAAGGGAAATCGAATAATATGTGATCAAATGAAAATGTGTGATTTGAATTTTAAAAAGTACAATTGTACGTAATACAATTCAATATTATGTTGGTGATAATGGAATGTGCAAAATAGATCATTGATCAAAATAAAATTTCACTCATCAATAATATTGTAAGACCTTGTGTTAAACCTTTATATAATTTTTATCTTCACGAGTGATAGAAATGTTTAATATTTTTAACGGTATAATAGGCTATAGGCACATTACTTCTTTTGTGTAATACTGTCAATTTATATATATTTTAATATTTTCAATTTTAAAAGAAATTAAAAGTGATAAATAAAAGAAGAATAATGCATTTAATTTAAAATTTATTATAGGTATAATCATTATTAATCATTTAAAAATTAATATGGTTGATTTAAGACGTTTGAATTAAATTACATTTAATAAAATTTTTCATTTTGCTCTCTCACAACTCACATATATTATTATTGTTGGTTTTGAACTGATATTTAGATAGTAAAAGTACATACTATATACCCACATTATAATATATAATTATAGATATGATCAAATATCATCATCATATTTCCATTTGTTGTAAGCAGTTGTACTCAGAAAATAAATAAAACTGTCCTAACATTTTTACGTCTTTATTACTATATAATATGATTTTAAAAATAAGTTACTCTATTGCACTTGATCGTTCATTAACCTCAACGTCTAGATCTACTAGTGTATTAATTGCATCTATATTCTATATGAATGTGGTTTATAAATTTATAATAAATGTATTTATTTTTATAATAATATTAAACTATAAAATGTGTGAATAATTTAAATTAATTCAAATGTGTGTTAATTGGTAGGTTCTAGGTAGGTATGTACGTTATGTTTACAATATAGGTCACTTTATTAATATAATAGTATTTTTAACTGAATGAATATTTTTTGCAAATAAACGTAAAATTAATTTGTGTGAAATTTTTTGATCTTTCATGTTAATTTTTATGAGAAAGGTTAATAAATTTACATAGAATTTGATTGCGTAGGTACTCTTTACCTTTTTTCCAATATGATTATTGTGCATATAAATATGTGGAATAATAAAGGAATCTTTAAATACAACAACGTATGCGTATAAGTACTAAAGGCTCCAACATTGTCAAATTTATAATTGTTCAACTTTTAAATTAAATACTTTAGTCAGATAACAAAAAACTCACATAACTATAGTTAAGCACCATCATTAAAATAATTGTGTTAAGTTTTAAACCAGATAGAGCCATCATTTTATAAGATAGTGCTTCCTCTATTTAGCAACGTCTATAATATAGGTACGTATATTCTTTGTTTAGTGGTTTTCTTCTTTTTATTTTTTAAATACTATACGTCTTAATGTCTATATATTATATATACATAAACGTTTACTACAAGTTCAGACCAACAATGACAAACGTTAAGCTTCCACTTACACGATTCAATATTTTTTATATTGCGATTAAACAAATTGTTGTCATTGTTTCAACATGCCACATGGGTCTCCCCATTAATATTAGTAGGTATCACTCTGGTATTAGTGGGTGAGCATTCAGCAGTCAGCACTATTAAATTGTCATTTTACATTTTTTGGAAACTTTTTGGACCGTTCATCATACTATAGATTAATTTTATTTTGTTAAATATACAACTGTGAAAACCATGCTATTTAGTATTTGGCAACATAGCACAAAATTAAATTTCACCGTCGATAAGCACCGTACAAAATCCCATTTTACGTGTAAATTTGTGTAATTTGGAAATGAGAGTAAAAAATATATAATTATTTACAACTACGAAAAAGTATGCTAATTATAAAATATATTAAAGAACTCGATTTACACGTTTTTTGACGGTACTTATCTCTTATAACCTATAATGTCTAGGTACAAACATATAAATGATCTGTAGGTACACTTATTATATAGAAACGGTTTTTGCGTTTATAAGATACTGAAAAATATATTCTATACAAAATTAATGGTCTAATGAAACATGTATATAAAAAACAATATCATTAACCATACAGTTTAAAATTAAATACTTAGTATATTACCTAGGTACTATATTACTACCTCATTATAAATTGCTTTAAAAATTAAAAACGAAATACGTTTTTTTAAGCACTATGATTTTGATTCAAGTCTTGGGTATAGTATAAAGATATATATAATCTTGTTTGAATATATACATAGGACTGATACTGTATACTATAATATATACTCGTTCCGGTTAGTTAATACATAATGACGTTTTAAAGTACGAAAAAATTGTGTATAATTATAAATAGTAGATTTTTACACAGCACAGCGTGTCGAATACAATTTTATTAGGTATTATATATTTCTATAAATTATTAGGTATACCTATTATTTCCTATTCATATATATAATCCAGACAGATTATATATAGATAATAATATTATCAGCTATAATATGTACTGTAAATATAACATAGTATGTAATATATTTATCATTTATGCATATAAAAGTATTCAAGTACATTATTATAATCATTTCAATAACGAAATATTATAGTAAAATTGTCAAATAGGTTTTCTAATGAAAATATTTGAATAAAGCATGATTAACATTTTCTAGAAACACGCATGCAGTACATATTACACTCTAGGTTATTGAATTTCTTCGAATATTATACGTGGTTTAAGTATATCATTATTGGCAAATTAGCCCATAAAAAAAAAAACCAGTAGTCGGTGTCTTGGTTTCAAGCTTATTAAATCATTCATATACAATATATAATAATATGTATACATAAATATATACAATTGAATGCGAAATAATACATCGCGCGTGTGCTTGCATTCTTCGTATACATAGCGAGTTTATATATAATTGGCAAACGTTAATTATTAATAACTGGAAAAGAAAGCTGACAATTTGTATCCGTTTAGAACGCGCAAATAGTGTGTATTATACGTGTATATAATAATTGTATGGGTATTAAGCTATTATCGTGTGTGATTCGTTTACGTCGAATCGATCAAGAAATACTTTTTTAAAATGTGGCGGTCAGATGCACGACCGTTGAAAAGTCAGCCCCGAACAGCATAATAAATAATAATATGTGCTGATGCGCATCGTCGTTTCTGCTAGATCATTATGTTATAGTTATAAGTTATAACAGTATTTTGCAGTGAGTACTATAGTACTCATTATCTTTCCAATTATATTTGTTGTAATAATTTACCAAAACATTTTAACCTACCTAGTAGTCTTAGTTTATTGTCTCCAGGGGTGTGTGAATCGCGTAAGTGGAAGCTTGACGCACGTTATTGTCGGTCGCAACTTGCAGTAAACGTAGATATTATATACTATATATAATGGAAAAAAAATAAAAAGAAGAAAAAAAACTAAACATAGAATATACGTATATTACAGCCGTTGCTCAATATAGGGAGCACACGAAAACCAGTTGTGTGTGTTTCATTCAAAACCAACGGTACACCAGTTTAGGTAACCAGTAAAGCACGTGACTTGAACCGCCTGCTTATGACCTCACAAGAAGGAAGAGAACAACCCCACGTCCATTGACTAGCCTAACCGAAGACAATAGTCACAAAATTTAATAATATCAACGTACACTGCAGACGGAAGAGCAACGTATCTGGTATATTATTCACATTATATTATTACATATTATGTTTATGTATCCGTTATTGTTACGATTATCCAGATCCCCTGTGACCACGTGAATCGCAGTGGCCGATAATATCATGAAATGGCTGTATTGCAAATAACGTAATATATAATAATATGATTGTCGAAAATTATTACCGTTGTCTCTATAATATTGTAATACCTAAGTATATAATAGGTATTTATATGAATATAATTGGCATCCACTGTAGTGAATAACTACGGACGTTTTTCGTCTGGAGATATTTTACCGTAAAACCGTCGCAATAACAGTTTCGCGAAACAAAAGACAAAAAATTGTGCGTGTGTACTACATAATATACCCATGACATATTATTATTATTGTAGCTAATCGTCGAGCGCAATTATTTTTGTTGTACTACGTTATTCAGCGTTGACCTGTGTGTGTGTGGGGTGGGGGGGGGGGGTGGCCACAGAGACACCATCTAACTACGACAATGTAGCGAACATGTTAAGGCTGGACATAAACTAGTTAAAAAGTTAAAGTTAAGTTACTTTTAACAACATTTTTTTTTAAGTACCTAATTTCTAACGTGTTAACATTTTTCCATGATTGCCTAATCGGTCAATTAATTTTTTTTGAAATTTTTTTTATTCGTTTATTTCTAATTATGCCCACTAGCATTATGGGGGGGGGCGGGGGTATTACTGTTGGGTTTTAGAGTAATACGTCATACGTGTTTATGTGGTGGGTTAGGTTAGGTTCGTCACTGCTGTCCCGTCTGCCTCCCATGTATATATTAATTTTTGATACCGTCAATAAACGATGGCGGCGCCGCGGAAGCAATGCGAAAGCAGATCCCGCGGCGTCGTCGGTTAAAACAGGAAAAAAAAAAAAAAAGGTTAGGTTCGTCACTAAAACCCGGTTGGTTACCCATCCGGGCCCTAACAATTAATTTTATTATCATGTTAGATTAATTTTTATCCCAGTACATATTATAAACTTCATAGATTTAATGTATATTGTGTTGTGTTTTTGTAAAAAAGTACTTTGTTTTCCTACATAACACAAAAGCCAAGGTAGTCGTCTAAGATCTTTATAATGTACGTATGCAGTTGGCGTACTATTCTGGGGGGGGGGGTTTCGGGTTCAACCCACCCCCCCCCAAGGACAAAAAAAAAATAATAATGTGATATTATTGATGAATTTCTTCTATTAAGCAACCGTGTATACACAAGTATACGTCATAATAATATGACTATGAGGTAAACACTATACTTACACCAACAACGAAAAAGATTCCATAAACGAAATTCTGGGTGCCGTAATATGATATAGCAATCAAAATAGACATTATTTTGATCGTACACAGTCAGTTAGTTGCGTGAGGATATAAATACATATTAATATGTCTTATCTCGACCGACTCGATCAGACAACGGAGAAAAACCGATTGCGTTATAATCGTTGAACTTCGCGTGAGTGACAATAATACGGTGAAATGGATTCTATTTTTATAGCACTATCATAATTATTGACCATGTTAAAATATTTAATTATGAAATGTTCGTTCATTCTGTTCTATTCTGCCGTCGGAGAAGTTTTTTTTTGTTTATTTTTAGATTTTAGTGTCGGCAAACTATATCATAATAATATTATGTCTATATTATTGAAATTTTGACATGGCAACAAAATAGACTCAAATAATAAAATGTAAAAAAATGAAAAACAAAATAAATTAACTTATAAATAAAAAAATTAATTCGTTAATTTAACGTTGATTAAAAATAATTTAGTAAACTAGTAGTTAAGTTAAAATTATTATTATTCACATCATAATCATTATCATTCGATTTCGATATATTTTAGGTTTTGAAGTTAAACTAAATAGTAATCATGGCTGAAAAAAAACAATCGAAACTGCAATCTTTTTTTTCAAAACCACCCTCATAATGATCATTGTCAAATTTATTGAATGCAACTCAAACAGTTATAAGTTCCTCTAGTTCCTCATTACCATCAACTGCATCTGCATCTGATACACCTATCACTCAGTTTACCCCTTCGACTACAGATATTAATCGTACATCTTCCAGTTATAATATTTTTGACATTGCACATTACACAAATAAATTGTTAACGCAAAGTGAAATAGAAGAAATTTTGAGCAAAATTTGGGTCCCTGATATTAATTACAATTTTCCTATCAAAATATCAGTAGTCGGTAAACAACAAAAAGTTTTGAAGTTGAAATTTCAATATAAATGGGTAATTAACTTTCCCTGGTTGGCCTATTCAGAAGTAAACAATGGTGCGTATTGCAAATATTGTGTTGCTTTTACTAAAAATGAAGCCGGTGTTAATAACCAAAAATTGGGAGCATTTGTATTAAAAAAATATGATGATTGGAAACATGCATTGGAAGACTTTAAAAATCATTCGAATTTAGAATATCACAATCAATAGAATTTTTATTATAAATAATTAATAATATAATATTTATAATATTCTGTAGTGCATATATAATATTTAACTGCCATGAGTTACGTAAACCTTTGTATTTGTATTGCTATTTTGCCTATTAATATTTATACGTATAATGTGTTTGATTGTTAGGAAAATGGGTAGTTGC